ATCAAGGCTTTTGCAGCGGGTGTCATTCTAGCAACTGGGTTTATACATCGCCGTGTTTGAATGCGAATCCATGGCAGAACTTTCAGTTTGCAGGATTCGTGGCCATGGTATCGGCAATGGGTACTCTTATGGTTGATACCTATGCTATGTCTTACCATAAGAAATCACACTTTAACAAAATAAAGCCAGATATAGAGATGTTAGTTGATGGGCATGATGGTCATGTTCATGTCCACACGCAACTAACCATCATGCCCATCAACTAACATCTCTTCGTCGAGCTTTGCTTTGTTAAAGTGTGATTTCTTATATTAAGAAGTAGCATAAGTATCAACTATAAGAGCGTGGGCGGCCCAACAAATTTGGAGACCTTAGGCGAAAATATAAAATGAGGTCTTATTAATAGTCAATAATTATAAAAATATATTTTTAAATAATTAAAAATATATTAATAGTATGAGGTGTCAATAATGTTTAAATATAAATTACAAAGAGTGTCAGTAATATTTTTAATAGTAGATGAGATATTTTTGAAAATATAGTATACCAGAATGGATATAACTGAAATTTTTTCTAAAATATTTAAAAGAAGTGACCTTAACACTGTATTCAGTTGGTCATAAAATTCGATCACACTAAATGTATTTTTATTCAAACAAAAACTGAATTCGGCAGTCCCCAAAAGTTGCGTGTGTTTTGGAGGTGCAAAAAGTAGGCGTAGTTTCTCACACTACTTCCTCTATATAACGAACAATCTGTTCCTTCCGTGCATTTCAGGCCTTAAACTGATCTTTATACCATTTTACCTAATAAACCTTTTTCTCTCTCTTCAATATTATCCATCACCATGAACAAGCTTCTTGATCAGCCCTGCTCACATTCAAGAGTTCAAAAGTCACTATTTTTGGCCTTTCTCATACTCCTTCCCGCCATAGTTTCCGGTGAGTGTACATGTGATGCTGAAGAGGGAGGTCATAACAAGAGAAAAGCACTTATATACAAACTGATCGCCATAGCCACAATCCTTGTAGCCGGTGCAATCGGTGTGTGTCTTCCAGTATTGAGCAAGACCATACCGAGTTTAAGTCCCGATAGGGATTTATTTTTCGTCATCAAAGCTTTTGCAGCGGGTGTCATTCTAGCAACTGGGTTTATACACGTGCTTCCTGATGCTTTTGATCACTTGACATCGCCGTGTTTGAATGCGAATCCATGGCAGAACTTTCCGTTTACAGGGTTCGTGGCCATGGGATCGGCAATGGGTACTCATATGGTTGATACTTATTCTACTTCTTACTACAATCAATTACACTTGAACAAAGCAAGGACCGATGAAGAGATGGTAGCTGATGGGATGATGATGGTCATGTTCATGTCCACACGCATGCCACAAATGGTCATGCCCATGGATTGATACTCTCTGAAGGGGATTCGGATTCATCTGAACTACTTCGTTATCGTGTTATATCACCGGTGCTTTTTACTATTTATTTTTTGTGATCTGTTTGCCTTTTTTTTTATAGTTTAACAATTATTTTATAGTTTATTAGCTAGATTTTAGTCTTACTGAATTTTTAGTATAAAAAAAAGTCCTTTGATTTTTGAAAAAATTTGAATGTGGTCCCCTGTGTTGGCGGGAATGTTAAGGGATTAGTTAGTTATTGACTTTCATTATTCATTTTGCCACCATCACATGATTTCAGCCTAAAATATAGTTAGTTATTGTTTCTTTTTTTTTTTTTTTCATTTGTTATTGAGATTTTTGATGTGTTGTCTATCAGTTTTGAATGACGATCCGTGTTTATGGAGAACAAAGTGCATTAACGATATGTGGTTTAGTGTACTTGTCTAACGATCTGTGTTTTTAGTGTAACTGTCTAATGATCTGTGTTTTTAGAGAAGAAAATATAATAACGATCTGTATTTTAGTGTACCTGTCTGACAATATGTATTTTAGTGTATTTGTCTGACAATATGTCTTTATGGCGAAAATGGTATATTAACGATCTGTATTTTAGTGTATCTGTCTGATGATCTGTGTTTTAGTGTACCTATTTGACTATTATTGCGTACCTGTTATTTTTTATTTTTTTTTATTGTGTACCTATTATTTTTTAGCATACCTTTATTAAGTTCACATCAAAATCTTGAGAGAGGGGGGGGGGGGGGGGGGGCTAAATGAATTAATTACAGCATATTCACAAATTGAAAGAATTTAAAAAAGATGCTAGATTAGATTTTTGAATTCGTAGGAAATCTTTGAATTCAAAAAGGAAACCTCTTAGCTACCTTGGATAGTGTTTTTCTTCCTTAAAACTCTTAGTTGGCCTTGATCAAGGAGCAGAAGAAGTCTTGCTTTGGGAAGAAAATAAGCGTATATTGTTCATCATACAAGTACACAAAATAAAATTATCATAGGTACACAAATTAAAAATTAAATATTATACTTTAGATTACATATGTGGTTCATTTGTTTTATATTTATTAAAAAAAATAGAAAAAAATTATTTTTTTGAGGTCCTTTAACTCTGCCTCAAGGTTCTTCATTTTCTTCTTCTCCTTTTGCAGTTTTTTGTTGAAAGATTTCGCCATTTTATTCCACTCATCTTTTTCTTTGTTGGACATGTAGAGTTTGGATTCGAGACCGTCAATATCAACTTGCATGCTATCCTGTTTTGCGTGGGTGTCGTCCAGAAAACCTAGAAGCATTTGTATGTTAGTTTGTGTTCTCTGCTGCCTTTATTGTTCCATTTTTTTTTTCGGTGTTTTTGTTCTGAATTTTAGATACGCTATTTGTAGAGGTATCTTTCATAGTATAGATAAAGAGATTGTATGTTTATTGTGGTGTTAATTTTGTAGTTAATCAAAGAGATGTATCTCAATGTATCTACTATAACGATATACTGAGTTCAGCCACTATTAGTAACTGTAACTTAATGTACCTTTAGACTTCCAGATAATGAGTATGTTAGTCGAGAACATGTCATTTTTTTAATGTACCTGTCTAACGATATGTGTTTTTTGGGAAAAAATGTACTTTATGATGGCGTTGCTTTTTTAGAATAAATGTTTTAATTATGTGCTGACATTGTTATTATTTTTTATATTTTTAAAGGACGTTAGTTATGGTCAATGCTTTAATTTTTCAGCAGGGAGCTAATCCAAAAAAAAAAAAAATTAGTGAGTGAATTTTTTTTTAAATCTTTTTTAGGTCAAAATTCTTGAATTTTTGTTTAAAGAAATTAATTATGGGCAATAGTTGTTTTTCATTAGTTCATTACTTTATTAAATAAATTATACAACAGTGAGTGATTGTGAACCCATTTACGATGGAAAATATTAACACTCACCTGTTGTTGGTTCAGGTGAGTATAGCTATCAGACAACCACATAAATTGCTAGAACAAAAAATCAATCAATAATCAAATACCACGACATATTATGATTTGGCAAGCCTCTATCAATGGACTTCTTGTAGGCTATTATCAAGTATAACACCCTTGGGTTCTACCATTAGATATTTATAGTTACCAAACAAGATGACGTTAACACAACATATGTGCTTCATATAAAACCATTAGTTTAGTGTCGGGTTTCATAAATATTCTCGATTAATCATGTCATTCTCCAAACATAATAGGGTGTAGGCATATCTATTAGAACAGCTGGAAAGTACATTGGCAGAATTTGTTTTTCAATCCTTAGAAAAAAGGAGCTTAGTCTACCATGTTCCCTTTTGTTATTCCTATAATTTCCCATTGCACCTATTATCCAAAACCGTCGGTTCAATTTCTTTGTCAAGTCCTCATCATGAAAGTATTTTGGATAACCAACTATGTTTAACACAGTAAGCCACTGTTTGAACCAAATCAGAATTCAAATGCCCATAAAATTCACATGAAAAATTGGTAAGATTTCTGCAAAAGATAAATAGTTAAGCTACTTATGTCAAAACATGTCTAAGCAAATGTGCACAACTCTAGAGGGAATCCTACTGTTCAAGTACAGAATTTCTCACTACTTTTAAATGATGAAAATAAAACCTACGTAGTAGCCATTATAGCATCAGAAGGAAATGTAATTGAGGTAGGTCAGAGAGTGTGCGAAGATTCCGTGCATTTTATCAAAGAAAGGTTGGGTGCTTCTCAGCCTAATACATACTAGTTTTACAAAAAGTCAAGAGGATTTGCTAAACAAAAACTGAGTATAAGGCTACGTATTTTGGAAAAAAAACATAAAAATTATAGCGACTAATTTTTCAAACTTTTATCTCGTTCACCCCCAGATCCATCATTATTGCGACTAATAGGGAGTGATTTTGGTGAGTTGGAAGGAAATCTCATCTATCAACTTTTTCATCCTTCTTATTTTCCTTTTTTACCAAACATGATATTTTATCCATCTCTTAAATTTTTCATCTTTCCGACTTTCCAGCCTTCCATTTTTTTATCGTACCAAACGGAGCATTAGTGTATTATATTATACTATTCTTTGTCTCTCTTTTTGGGAGTTCTATTATGCTCTTCTTTTGAATTTATAAATCATTTCAATTTTATTGTAATAATTATATATGAGAGTTTATTTCATATAAAAAAATAATAATAATACTATGGTGACCAAATTTATTCACCAAATTTTTGTACCAAATGAAGTGGCAACATCACATTCATTGAATTTGTTTTGGGTTTTGGGTGTCAGTGGAACTCACCAATATAACAACCCACAGAATAGTCCTAAAACTCCAAAAAAAGTAATTAAAACACCCGATGCGGTCCAAAATTTTGGGATTAGTTCTTCAAATTTGGGATCAATCCCAACTATTCTATATCGATCATAATTTGACCCCGTCGAGTGGTAACATGATTTATTTGAATTGTAAGCTTCAATATGATAACGAAAAATTATTTTTCGTTGTGGTTGAAAATCCTTAGTTCCTATAATATGAGGCAGTGGGAACAAAAACCATGTCGTTTGTCTCATTGACTACCAACCAAAAAGCTTCAAGCCCATTTGGCCAAGAGAGACATGAAACCTGCACCAAAGAGGAGGGAAACATTAGCCTGAAATTGAAGCTTTCCATTGTTCTGCATTCTTGGGTTCATAAAATCAGCTGAGAGAAGATCCACAAGTGCCATATAGATCAATATCCCTGCTGATGCTGCGTTTAAAACCCCCTCAACGATCAGAGCAGTTGGGCTGTTCTCCTTGTAAATGTTTGTTATTCCGATGCCGATTACGATACCAATTGGGGTTGTTAGAGAGAAGAACACCACCATTATCGCAATGGCCCGAGATTTGAATTTTGCCTAGAGAAGTGCAAAAGAAAACAGAAAGTATTTACTGGCTTGGTGCATTAATTTTGACTTTGAATCACAAGCTTTTAATTGTTAGACTAAGATCTCTTTCAATCTATGTTCTTTCTATTTTTCTTCCTATTGAGAATTTTTGTGGGACATATTATACACAAGAAGGTTCCTCACTTATTAATGATAAATGATTTGTCAAAGGAAAAATTTATTTGAGGGGATCTAGATTGTCATCTCGACAATCCATGATATATACTGGTCCATCTTCAAAGGTCTCATCCACATAAAATATATATATATATATATATATATATATATATATATATATATATATATAACATTAATTTAAGATAAAGTGATGCTGTAAACATTTCCAATGGATGTCAATTAAAAAGTTTATGGTGTAATTCAAAAGCTGGAAACCAAGTCTAGGGCCTATAGGCTATAACTTTAGAAATAATAATAATAATAATAATAAAAAGAAAGAAAGTTAAATTGAGTAGTGGTGTTGGTACCTGAGCTATGCATCCACCAAGTCCCATGCCCTCAAAAAATTGATGAAATGTCAAGGCAGCCACAAGAGGCCTTATGGTTTTTGGAGTTTCAGAAGCACCCAGGGAAATTCCAATAATTACAGAGTGGACTATAATTCCCAATTCCAAAACCTACAATATAATACCAATCATCGGTCACAATATATATATATATATATATATATATATATACACATTAATTAAAATTATTAATGTATCATTACTAATATAAATATTCGAGTAATAAGTGTTGACATGCAACAGAGAAACTATTCAAACTATAATTTTTTTTAAGTTTAAACTGCTCTCATTCCAACTTGTATTTAAACCACTAAAATATTTGACTATTCAAGTCAATTTCATGATTTGTGTGTGTGTGAGAGAGAGAGAGAGAAACTTCATTGCATTCTCTTTGTTTGGCCTTGAAATTGAAACAAAAACAAATAAACATAATTTTCTCATTTATCCTCATGTTAGTTTTGATCAAAGTATTACAATCACAAAATTCTATTCAAATTGAGAGAAATTGTAATACATGAGCATAATTCGAGAGTTGGTTTGAAAATTTTATATCTAAGTCGATGCAAAATAACAAACTTAAGGATAAAAGAATCTGATATGCACCGCACACTCCTCCCCTACCCTAGTGGAACCTCCACCCTTTATTAAGCTTTATCCTCCCCTGGTCAACTTACGTAGGGTTCTATAGAACCAAATCACCATAAGATAATATGGAAAATAGTTTAAATGTGAAAAAAAAAGATAAAAAAAAGAAAAGCAAACAGATCATAAAAAATAAATAGTAAAAAGCACCTGTGATATAACACGATGACGAAGTAGTTCAGATGAATCCGAATCCCCTTCAGAGAGTACCGATCCATGGGCATGACCATTTGTGGCATGCGTGTGAACATGAACATGACCATCATCATGCCCATCAACTACCATCTCTTCATCGGGCCTTGCTTTGTTCAAGTGTGATTTCTTGTAGTAAGAAGTAGCATAGGTATCAACCATAAGAGTACCCATTGCCGATACCATGGCCACGAACCCTGTAAACGGAAAGTTCTGCCATGGATTCGCATTCAAACACGGCGATGTCAAGTGATCAAAAGCATCAGGAAGCACGTGTATAAACCCAGTTGCTAGAATGACACCCGCTGCAAAAGCTTTGATGACGAAAAATAAATCCCTATCGGGACTTAAACTTGGTATGGTCTTGCTCAATACTGGAAGACACACACCGATTGCACCGGCTACAAGGATTGTGGCTATGGCGATCAGTTTGTATATAAGTGCTTTTCTCTTGTTATGACCTCCTTCTTCAGCATCACATGTACACTCACCGGAAACTATGGCGGGAAGGAGTATGAGAAAGGCCAAAAATAGTGACTTTTGAACTCTTGAATGTGAGCAGGGCTGATCAAGAAGCTTGTTCATGGTGATGGATAATATTGAAGAGAGAGAAAAAGGTTTATTAGGTAAAATGGTATAAAGATCAGTTTAAGGCCTGAAATGCACGGAAGGAACAGATTGTTCGTTATATAGAGGAAGTAGTGTGATAAACTACGCCTACTTTTTGCACCTCCAAAACACACGCAACTTTTGGGGACTGCCGAATTCAGTTTTTGTTTGAATAAAAATATAGTGTGATCGAATTTTATGACCAACAGAATACAGTGTTAAAATGACTTCTTTAAATATTTTAGGAAAAATTTCAATCACATCCATTTTAGTTTATTATATTTTCAAATGTATCCCATCTATTATTAAAAATATTATTGACACTCTTTTTAGTTTATATTTAAACATCATGGACACCTTATTTTTAATAAAAACAATTATCAAAAATATCAAAAATACCTCTACATAAAACCTCAAATAATCTTTTCTATATAAAATTCGATTAAAATTCGAACTGATTAAAATTTTTTTTTTATATATTAAAATTTATTTTTTTACATATTAAAATTTGAGCTGATTAAAATTCGATTCGAGCTGATTAAACTTTATTTTTTTAAGTATTAAAATTCGAGCTTATTAAATTTTATTTTATTTTATGTATTAAAATTCGAATTGATTTGAGCTTTACTCGAGTTATTAGTGCCGATAAAAATTGTCTTTAGTCGATTAAAGTATATATTTTTTTTACCTATTAAAATTCAATTCATTAAAATTTGAGTCAATTAAAATTTATATTTTTTTATGTATTATAATTTAGGTAGATTGAAATTCAATGCAAGTTGATTAAAATTTTATTTGAGCAGATAAAAAATAATTTTTGAATTAGCTCAAATTGTAATACGTAAAAAAATATAATTTTTAATCGACTTGAATTTCAATACATAAAAAATAAATTTTAATTAACTCGAATCGAATTTTAATTAGGCTAAATTTTAATACGTAAAAAAATTTAGAAAACAGAGGAGTTTCATTGATGATATTATTATCTAAAAGGGTTGTGGATGAAATTTGTCATCAAATATATCACGTGTAATTTTGTAAAAATATATTCTAGTTAATATTTTTAACCTAACATGCGTGTCAGTGAAAATTTAAAAAATAGTAAGGTGTTGTTAAAAATATGATAAATTAGAGGGGGTGATGTTAAAATTTTTCCAATATCTTATGTTTATAATAGTTTAAGATACGCCGTTTCAACGACCTGGCAAGTATGAGGACATTGCGAAGATAGTTGTCAAGTTCCATTGCACAACTGCATATTGAAAACAATAATCATGTAATTCAGCATAAATGTTAGATTTTAGTGAATTTTATTTAACATTGAAAATTATTATTGATAAAATAACTATGAGGAATTGGATCAATAAATTAGGTATAAATAATATTTTTTTACCAAAAATAGCTAACATATCTTGTACAATATTTGGCTTACTCTTGAGAATTTATGCATCCCTCCTATAATACATTCACCAAATAAGTACTAGAAAATAAAATCCAAATGCAACCAAAAACAAAAAAAATGATAGTGTGACAACATGAACACATTTTTTTTTATTATATCCATCACAAAATCACTATTATAATAAATTTAATCATTTTAGAAGAAAGAAATTTAAGTTCTTGCCTAAATATTAGACAACATGAGAGAATCACACCAACTAAATATTAGATTCATTGACCTAGAAAATTGGGCTTAGAAGTTTGGGAAAGCATGTCGACATAATGGTACCATTGAGAGTGGAATTTTTGATGAGCTCACATTTAACTAAGCAGTTGTTAGTCAACCACTTTGCCAATTTCTTCTAGTTTTTCTACATTATCTATCTGTACGCATAATATCATCTCCTCATCTCTAATATATATTTTTTTAGTTGTTTTTTTATATATTATTTGTCATTCATTCAAATAAAATTTATTTTATATAAATGAGTCTCTCAATTATCAATAATGAATCTTTTACTCATTAATCACAGATGATGTATAAAAAATATATATATATATATATTAGAGATGATCTAAATCCAACGCATCCTGTGGCTCCTGACAAGGTCCAATTGTATTTTTTTTTACTTAGAAAAACAGTTTAATGTATGTCAGCATAACTTATGTACCCCATTTTTTAAGGAGACAGCCACAGAAGTCAACTAAAAGTGGCATCCCAGGTAGATAGACTCTCCTTGTACCATCCTAGATCTTTTCAATCAACTCAAGAGTATACAGAAAAATAACAAATGTGAAAATTTAAACAGCATCATACAATACAAGGGTAATTCTACTTACCCAACAAAATAAAAAAAAAAAAAATGGTACTATATCTAAAATTATTATTTTTTAAGGTTTAAGTAACATTTTAAATGTGAAGTTATTATTGCTTGAGGTAAATTTATGATTAATCATGAATACCTCCTAATCAACTGTAACTTCATTTTTAAAAAGTGTAAATTGACTTTTAAAAGTTACAATTTTACATTCAGAAGGTTTAACATCTATGATTGATAATCATAGTTTAGAATCAATCATGATATTTTTAGTTGTAAGTTTTACCTTAAAAACTTGCAAATTTTGGTACGGTATCGACTTGAATACAATAATTTTCTCTCTAAATACAAATCAAGAAATGACATTCCAATAGATGCATTTTTACTATTCCAAGATTTAAAAAGAGAATCAAACATACGTAACCCAGTAGCGAAGCACGTTGGGTTTAAGGGCAGTTGTCCCCTCTCTTTTGGATTACATTTGATGAGGACATATATTACTATTTAATGTACTACATTACCCCCAAAAATTTTGTTAATAATTTTCATATTGATTCTTGTCTCTTATTTTTCCAGTAAATTAGTGATTTACTAGCCTCTAAAATAAATGTTTTATTTTTGGATTGAGTAAACAAAAGATTAATGTCTTGACGAAAATACAATACTTTACTTCTGTCTAACATAATGTACATTTTTTTTAAGAACAGCTGTGTATTGCTATTTACTATTTTTCGGTAAGTTTGTAGTCTATCTATAATATAAAACAGGGGGGTTCAACAAGTCGATCGCACAGTCACAATTCATTTCATCCAACGGTCACAGATCTTCACATTTCCTCTCAAATTCATCATTTTTAACCCACAAATTTATTCAAAAATCTGATCGTTCAGTCACTTCATCTGCCAACAGTCACTTCTTTTCCTCGGTACAACAGAAAAAATGGCTTGGACATCATTTTTTTCCCCCAACCCTTATGTCAGACGCTTTACAGGCCATCTCACTCTCTGTCTGTATCTTTATCTCTGTTTCTTCTTACCAGCAACATCATCGTCACCGCCGAAGCCGGTAACACCACCAACGTCACTCTCTCTCCCTCTATTTCTTCTTACCACCATCCATCGCTGAAGTCAGCAACACCACCACTGCCCCAGCGACACCACCAGCAACGTCGCTGCTAACCCCTCCCAGGTATGCCTCATCTCTCTCTCTCACATACACACACACACCCATCCTACCCCCGTCTCTTCCCTGCCCTCTTCTACGCACTCATCACCCCCATACAAATCGCACACACATACACGCCCAACACAGACCCACCACACACCCATTCACCCATCACACACCCACTCAGCCACACACACCCAAAAGGGAAGAAGCTGGATGATTTAATGTCGAAGAGAGACCCACCACACACCCATTCACCCACGATTTACTTTGGTTGTTTCAGAGAGACTTCAAATCCTATTCACTGACTCATCGAACAGGTGTAGTAATTTTTTCCTTGACAATATATTGTTTAGAGGATTAAAGTAAGTATGATTTTTTGAGGATTCAATGCTAATTTTTTTATTCAAATTTCTTTTTCTTTTTCTTTGT